TACTCCTCTCGATCAATGTAATGAAAAAGTATTATTTTGTTGAATGTACCATAACCTATACAAATAATTGTATTTGATACAGACCTCCATGCGTTTCAAACAGAAGAATAATAAATGTTCATTATGGAATACTGAATGTTTAAATGTGACAAAACTTGTTTAACATGATATTAAATGAGCCTTGGTTTTGTTTTTGAAAAAGGTAATTTTTGTTTGATCAAAATACTGAAGATTTCACAGATAAATGRTTCGTTTTTCATTAATCAGAATAGCAGCCTGGTCAACAGTTCTGATTTAGGACAAGACTGAGAGTATAAAACATAGACATTAAAATGTGCCTTTTATTGGACCCACAACTTCTTCATTTTACCCACAATTCCCTAGACTAGATCCATAATTCCTTAGGAAGGCAGATGGTTGGCCTTTCACCGGGTTGGACGGGTTGTYGGGACGTGTTTACGGATCATATATGAATTGAGCCTGTTTGGCGTGTTGTTCTCAACCATTCCTAAGATGGTGTACTCCGGTTTTGCAGCAAAAGCGAACATGCGGAGTTGAGCGATGTGTACAAAATAGTTTAATGTAGAGGTATTGAGTGTGATAGAACAGCAACTGACCGGGCTAGCCTGTGTATAAAATTTATGCTTTACCCTTGAACAATTCCATTCGACAATAAACACAGCCGTGTGTTAGAAACTGCAAATATACCTATCAGTAGCGAGTGCTCAATTTGAATATCAGAAATAGAAAATCTCATAAAGGCAAAAAGTATTCCCATTTAACACTTTATGCCTAATTTTTGTCCAAAAGGAACATGCTGCTAAGCACTTCTTTCTGAAGAAAACCGATGATGAATTTATTTTGATGATTTGAATTTATATTTAGAAAATGCAAATGAAGTAATTTTAAGTAAAGAATGATTTTAATATACAGACTGAGTAACTACTGCGAATATAACGAAGTTCAATTCCACTTTAACTACAGGCACTAAATTTTCATTCGTTGACTTAATGTGATCAAATTTCTAGTACGTACCCAGTCTTTAACGTGTGTCACGTGCCTTCTTCACGGTATGCAATCTATGCATAACATTAATRCAATTATGGCATTCTGGGAAAATAATATTACAATGGGATCATTATAAAAAAAAGCACAGATTACATCATCAAAGCTAAGACCGAAAAGAAGCACGGRAAAGTGACGAATTTGAATAATATCATTCGTTTAACAGTGAATTTTTTTTTGTACCCAAAATACATTTCGGTCTTAGAATTGATTATATCACCTTGCTCTCAAATAATTTTTTTCAATAATGTCCATTCAGCAAATATAGATACACCTTTAGATACTTGTCGGGGTCATATATACGATGTTTTCATATATTTTCCCTATATCGTTGTAATCAGTCGCCCGTTTTGCACAACAGTTTTCATGAGACAATCCAGATTGAGCTTACTTGATGGTGAATTATCTAATAGGCGATATGCATTATGGCGACATTTACTACAACTACCAGAATTCTTTGCCAACTTTCTTTTGTAGTGCAATTAGTGCCAAATGTTTTATTAATCTCCAAGGGGATTAAAAATCTGAATAACAATGAAAATGCGCAAGGCTCTCTGGTTAGTTGTAGTAAAGTTGCGTCATATATGCAAACGCCTATTGACAYAAAAAAGCCGTAAGGAGTGATGTTCTGAAAATAGCAATCGAGTGAAGAATATTACGAACAAAAATTTGAATCCAATAAATTTATTACAATCATCTTATAAAGCAGGCGAAGTATTTATGAAACAATTTAACTTTGGCTTAGATATTTGTGTATAGTTGCACACATGATACGGCTAGTTCTAATTAAAGGACGTTTGATGATGTGATGATATACTGTATCGCTTCACGAACAGCAGCAAATGCAGTTCGTGCTTAGTTTCATAAAATATATAACAAAATAAATGATAAATCAATGAAGCCAAGTGTGCGACATTAGACATCTACATAAGCATAGCAATAAGCATAAGAACACAAGAAAAACAGTATAAAAAATGTCTTGTAAATCATGAAATTTATTCATTTTTCCCTCTTATTTTTAGATCGAAGTAAAAACCCAACAGGGTTTATAGCGACCAGATGCAGGTGGATAAACCAAGGAACTAATTAGGATTCCGTTGGTAAAAAAATATTTAAACAACTTGATTAAAAACTATGTTGTTAGCATCTTGAAGTGGATTGCTGAGCACCAAGGCGCGTGTTGTGCTTAATTTAAAAATCCACCTGTTTTCAAGTGGCAAACCTCATCTGAACAGCAAATTCTAATTCAAATTCTCTAAAGCATAGCGAATTCCTAAAAAGGCTCACTCTTTTCAGTTGAAGATGATACTATATATAAAAACAGTTACAAATTGAAATCCCTCGCATACACAAGCAGTATGTATGTTGTTTTTTGGCTGTATTTTCAAATTAAAATTAAAATGACGAGCTGGCTATTAAAATTAGGAATTACACGCTTTAAATATCTCTGTTAGCATTGCAAAACGCTACAAAATATTTCTACTAAAAAGGTTTTTAGCTCGGACAGTGTTTCGTAGTTTCAAGGGCACAATATATCTCGATACATCTTAGTTTAACCACGCCCACAAAACCTTTTTATTGACACAACAGATACTCCCTAAACCTTTCATTGCTGTAATACATGCATTGGGTGTCGACATATTTCGGTTTAAAAATTGCAGTTTCAAAGCACTTTTCCGATGTGTGTGTGATCAGACTAAAATTTCTAAAAAAAATAATAGAAATAGAGGATATTACATGAGCACGCGTAGAAAATAACAGCTTTACAAAATGGAGAAATATAGGTTTTTTATAGATCATTTTATGGTAAATAAATAAATTCCATGAGACAACTGTGTTTGAATACTGTTGCCTTTCCAAAAATCTTAAAATAACAAATACGCTCAATGCAYAGTGATTATTTCGAATTTTCGAGCTTTTCGTTTTTTTCTTTTTCTTTTTGCAAACAGCACAAAATATTCTAATTTGTGAACAAAATCTGACCGACTTTCTAGAAAACATCAATAAAAATCATCCCTCTAATTATCGGAATTTCTGAAATAATCCAATCTTTAGTAGAAAAGGGAGTTCAAAATGACAAATACATCTCCGGATTCATACTAACGCTTTTCTGATCTAGAATCTAGAATTGTTTATTAATTTTGCTAACTAGAAGTATATTGCATGTTTTCTTGTATTATGCGTTGGAAAACAAGGTAGGTAAATAATAAACTATTCTGTACAGCCTTACTATGAGTTCTTTTGTTTATTAAATGATTCAGTTAAAAAAAACTTAGAAGCTTCAAACTGAGAAGTCAAAAAAGAATTGATACAAAAAATCACAACGACCAAGAAAAAAACTAACGATATCATTCAGTTCAAAAAGACATTAATTAATTTTTATTCAAAGTAGAATTTTACTTGTTTTGTTATTTATTTATGTGAGGAAATACCCAGCCGTGTGATAGAAATAATAACAATACTCCAAAACGTTATTAGAGCACATTTATACAACAAAAGCTAAATGAAACGTAGTCCCGTGGTGACTGTTAGCTTCACGGAATTAGCAGCTCTTTCCGGAAGCCGATTGTACTGAAAGTAATTGAGGCCTTGGGGCTATTGAGAGTTGACACTTCACAATGTATCGCACACATAAACATTGCGATTTAGATAAGTGTTCATAGGGTAACACACACAGTATCTTAACAGGTCATAGCACTGGATATTTTAATTGCATGCGAATACAATCCTTTTAAAGCGGAAACAATTCATTATTGCCTCTGTGAAGAAAATTTAGATTAGCAGTCAGTTCGAAAACTGAGGCTCAGCACTCTCGATCTGCCATTTTCTCTTCTGTTTGACTGTTAAAGCTGCCTGCACTTTTCAATTGCGAATGAGATTTTTGGAATGAAAGCAATGGCTGAAGCCGAAAATCACAATTCGTTTGAAAAACTGCCACTAGAAAGTCTCGATACAGAAGTTCATGAAAAGCGTAGGTGTTCATTTTCGCATAATCACAAAAAGTATTTGGTTATTCTAGCCATTATTGCGTGCACACTGACTGGCTTTTTGTTCGGGTACTTCATTCACCGAGCAAAAGCCTCGAATGTGAAACAGTCTACGGCTCCTTTCGACCGATACCAGAAAATGGTGGACTCCAAGCGACTTGAAAACAATCTCAGGTAGGTAGCGAAACACGCTTACAAAAAGCTAGAAGTTGAAGTTTAATTCTAAATATCGAGCATTTGAAAATTCTAAAACAATTTCTGGTATATTCTGAATAAGCAGCATTGCCTAGTTTTTTAGGAAATKATTTTATGCTTGCGGGTAAGGGAGGGCAATTTACCTATCGTAGGACTTAATTGCAGACATATTTCATGGAATGTCACTYCTCTACAGACTTTTTACAGTGTCAAAATATTTTGTGTCAATATTTCTTTTATTGCCGTGATCGAAGTCTTTTATTTTTATTTTTTCTTGCTCATCCCTTTTTCGTTTCTTCTGATCAAAACACTATCGACTTCTTATGGGATAGTCATGCATATAGTGAAAGACAATGCAGGTATGAATGATGAAGTACATGAATATGGGAAATTATAAACACTGTATAATGATAGAATATACTGTGAAATTGCACAATTTAGCAAACTGGTTGTCTTATTTTCGTGTCATCGTTCCAAAGTCAGCCAACATTAATTGGCATTATATCAAAACAAAAGAAGGACCACATTTCCCTTTGTGGATTTTGGGATAGTTCTTGCTTTTAGAACTGATCATTCAGTAGTACGCTGTTGATCTTGAAAACGAGAAAATCTTGAAAAGTTGATTAATTAGAAATGAATAGTCAATATAATTCATGTTTTACCACTAATTGTATTGCTACCGCGGGGCAAGTAATTGCACTTTGTATTTTCATTCCGGCTTAATTGCCTATGCAAACATATACTATGAAAATGTAGAGACCTTAGAAGTGGAGTTCTTTACATCAACAAATTAATTAAATTTTGTAATCAGAAGTCATTGCTAAGTCCTGTGGCCTCTATTCCATAAGCATAGCAGATTWAATTGATCCAGAGTTTCGAGTTTTGATACTTGGTTAAGTGTAMGTTCTGCGATCAGATTAGAGTTGTACACATCGGATGTAAGATTCAGGTACCACTGAAAAAATAGACGGATGTAAAGGCCTCACACGAAATGTTTCCATGGTAGATCTGAGGTCAGCTCTGCGTGAGACACTCAACACTTTGATATAAATTGTAAATTCTATGTGTGTGTCTTTGAGGAATCAAATCAGAAAAGGTAGCCGAGTTAACAGTGTCATTTAAAAAAGAATTCATCATTTAATGGCATTTTCAATTAGCCAATCCATCATTTCCCAATTTAAACTGTYAAAAAAGCAATTTTCTGAGCCAAAGTMTTTTCTCGTTATCGRCCAGTCTTCGAATAATCCCAAATTAGTTTCTTTTCTGACAATTAAGAGCTGAATGGTTTGGATTTATTAGAGTGTTCAAGTTAATCATGCCGAGCAAATTTGAATTTCTTTGAATRCCTGCGCCGATAGCTCATTTATAAATTGCCAAGTTTCCGGTTCAAGTTCCGCATTTTTTAATGATAGTGACTTCATTAAGTAATTGTTTTCTTAGCCTCTCATATCCTATCCATCCTGTTTCTATTTTAACTTGCGCTCTTTATCTTTTTGCCTCTCGTTTTTATGATGATTTGCTTGATTTTGTTATTGTGTTGTTGTTTTTTTTACATCAAACGTCTTTTTCCATTTTTTGTCACTTATTTTATTATACAACATAGATTTCTGATTGAAAAACAGTCCTTTTTTGAAAATATATCAATGTTAACTGAAAAGATAGATATTTTCATTCCTTTCAATTTTCAGTGAAAATTATTTTCGAAAAAGTGAACCATTTATATCMYTTGTCAAAATGGCCTCCGCACATTATATTTTAGCGGAAAGTGCCTTTTCGTCCCAAAAAAATGAACCATGAAATGCTTAAAAGAAATTACTTAGAATCTCTACAATAGCTCAATGTAGGCTCATTTGAAAATCCATAGACATTGTTGTAAGAAAAAAGTTGTGAATTGAAGGGTAATAAGATTTTCTTTTTCAAACCTAAATAAATAGTTATTTCAATGAATAACAAACCTTTCGTTATCTCTGTTGATAATATTTTTTGATAATATTTTTTTATTCATTTTTTTGTTTATTTTTTTGTTTGTTTTTATTGTCATTATTATTTATTCTTTATCGTAGCTTTATAGTATAGCTATAATATTTGACAACTAGTCGATGTATCTAAATTTAAACCTTTAAAAAGACAGTTAAAAATACTTGCTAATATATAAGGAATTATGCTTGTCATTCCATTGTTTAAAGGATTCATGAAGATTTAATAGCTGACTTGCGAATTACGCATCAATAGTCACATACAAAGGAATCAAGACGAGGCGCCGTGCTAAAGACAATAGATTTTTCACAAAAAAGCACGGCGCCTCGTCTTGATTCCTTTATGCGTGACTATTGATGCGTAATTCGCAAGTCGGCTATTTTCATGGCAACCGACCTGAATTGGCATTAAAACGTACATCGCGCATGCATGCAAATTATCAGCTTACGCTATAGGTCCACGGCAAACCATTGTATTATAATTATTCTCCACTCAAGCACCTCTACCTTCAGTCCTATCGCGGCTAGACATCAATAATATAAAATGAAATACTTTTAAGCAATCCTCGCAGTCTCTATACTATATTTGGAATTATCGCTATATTTGTAAACTATGAACATGGAGAATTAAATAATAGCACATGCATGTGTTAGAGAACTTCATTTGGCCGAGATTGTACAATTGCCAATCTATACTTAATTTAGTATTTAAAAGATTTATTTGATTTTTGCTTGGAAATCATTTGTTCCATTTCAGATTCGTTGGGAATATAATTGGTCTTGTCACAGTTTTGGCGGCCATTTTGTCGATAAAACAAAGTCTCGCAAAAAAAAAAAAAAAACCAACAACAACAACAACAACAACAACAAAACAAAAAAAAACAACAACAACAAACAAAAACAGATAGAGCGAGAAATCGATTTCAAAGAATTCCTGTTGAATTCAAAACCTGACAGAATCATTTAGCTGGCCGTTTTGAAAGACTGAATAGACCTGAAGGTTTTACGCCATGTACAGTATACGTATTGCATTGCAGAATATGCTTGGGACAAAACATGGCGGATTTCTTTTGTTTTCTCTAGAAACTGATTGCACAATGCATTTAAAAATCATAAAAAACCCGTAAAACTGAGGTTCATAATACTATTGATCGAGAGAGCGGGCATRCAAACACATTTTATTTAGTTGCAAATGCACTTATCGATTTTGTATGCTGTTCCGGCCAAAACCTTGATARGGTTGTTTTCACTACGACGCTGACGAGATGATTAAATACATGAATATGTAATTCTACTCCAAAGGCCTACCATGAAAATCGGACATATAATACCCCGAGACGTAGAGGTCCTTTGCTCCTTGCAGTTCTAGCTTATATAAACATGACCATTTTTATTAAAAAAAAYGTATTTGAAGAATAGTTCAACTCAAACGTTCAGGGGTGCAGTTGTCACCCTGAGTCTGTTGTTTGTCTTTACAAAATGATGTCACTCAATWGATTTATTCATGGAAGTATTCAAAAATCTTCGTGCTTGTCTACATCGGGATTACTAGTGTAAATTAAAATGTAATTTTCAACAAACAAAGCGTCAAACGTGTGCACTTATGCGCTTATAGAAAAACCAACTTTATATCAACAAAACGAACATAGCACTTACGGTGATTGACAACTATGGCTAATTATCATTTATAAAATCAATAATGATATATGTAACTGATATGAGAAACTGGCATCGTTGTAAGTTTTATGAGTGCTCTCACAATACAGTGTTTACTACATGGTTTAGAAAATGTGTTCAGTTCACGTCGTCAACGCCCGTGAAAAACAGAGAGCTTATAATAATTGAAACAGAAGGACGTGTGGTTGTTACCAAAGAAATAAGCGCCCCACAGGAAGCGTTTGTGCAAAATACCTAAGTCGTCTTGATAAACTGATATTAACAGATACTGACTAATCGGCATTGATACTTGGGAGAAAAATGTCAGCGTTAGAGTATAACCTCGATCAGGATCTAGATGTTACGATTCGTCGACGGGGTAATACAAGGCTTTTGATTATTTTAGGCGTTCTATTGATCGTTACGTTGACTACTGGAGCTTATTTTATTGGGTTTTATGTTCGATCTAATGACAACGGTGAGTCAAATAGCTCAACTCAAGATGTGCAGCACAATTTCCAAAAGAATATCCTCAAGAACGAAATCGAGAAAAACTTGCGGTAAGTCAGAAATCAAATGCGAATATATCAGATCAGCGAGATATTTTTAAAGTAGTGTACCAATTATGAAAAGACTCTTGTATGGATTGGTCGAACTTAYGATGGCCATTTGTACAGAAGGACTTTTAATYCTGTGTTYTCGCAACCAGCTATTATCAATCCAGTATTCATATTCGAAAAATGGTGGGCAATTTAAGTGACAATTGTTTTATWTAATGACTAGCCTATGTAACAAAAGACAATTAAAGATTTAACATGGATTAGTTGCTATTCAAGTCGGAACAATTTTTATTTGAATCATTCTGCCATAGGCATAAGATTTGTCCATAGTTACTAAAAGTATGGTCGATTTGTCGCACTCGTTCTGTACACGGCAAACTACAAGTACCGACAGTACCGTACAATCATTCGCCAAGATAGAGAGACGACTATAGCACGCTTGTTTTATGTTTGTTTGTTCGTTGTTGTTGTTGTTTTTTTTCTTTTTCTTTTTTTTTTGTATGTTTTTGCTATCTTTCTCTCTTTCCCTTATCAGAACGAGTGATATTTACTCATCTACATTTGTCATAAATTATTATGCATCTCATAAGCAGAAAACAAGAGAAACTAATCTCATTAATAATCAATTTCAGTAGACATACTTACATTAGTTTTTTTTTCTTTTAGATTCTTTTCACGTCGCCCACATGCTGCAGGCTCTGCAAGGCAGTTAGAACTTGCCGAGTACATTGCAAACCTTTGGAAAAGCTATGGATTCGACGATGTCGAGTTACCGGGGTATAAAGTCATGCTATCGAAACCACAAGAAGATAAACCAAACATAGTGGAGCTGATTGAAAACGGAAAAGTTKTACATGAAATAATTGGCAAACTCAACGTAAGAAAAATATGATATTTTCCTTTGCATTTTTGAATACGCAATGTGCAGTGACGCCATTTTGTGTGGTGGRAGTTATAGTCCTCGCACCTTTCATAGTTTCTGAATATATCCCTAAAAGCGGTTTTTATATTTTCTTTGTCAAAACACCTCAACTACTTCTATTTCTGCAGAGCTGAAGCAAAAACGACTAATTATCTGTTTATAATAAGTGGACATGAAAAAGTGCAAGGACTACAAATTCCTTCATGCTTTGTTGCACAAAATGGCGTCCGGCATAACTCCTATCATGTGGCCCACATTCGTTGTATCAAACTTTCTTGTTGAATTTTTGTGTACAAAAAAGCTTATCATATGAAGTTAAAAGCCAATTACTATTAATAATATAATTAGAATATTAAAAAAAAACAAATTCGCTTTTTACNCCAGAAGTTCATGATAAATGCCTGTACACTATTGTTATGCGTTAGCCAATTATGTCTATTGATTCAAACATTGATTGTCGACTGTGATTCTACTGATATTGTGTCTACTTCTCAAAAGGTAACCGCTGGTCCAGGAGAATCGGAGACATTTCAGTTCATTCCATACGTGGCGTACTCTTCGAATGGTACTGTAGAAGGTCAACTAGTCTATGTCAATGAAGGCACAAAAAAGGATTTTAAGACCCTGAAAGCTTATAACATCTCCGTTGAAGGGAAGATTGTTATTTGTCGAAGGATATCTGGAAACGTAAGTTGAACACAAACATTGTAAACATTCATATTCTTTTACGACATCAAAAGCTACACAACAAACTTCACTTACTGTTTTACAGGTTTTGGAAGCAGCCAAACATGGAGCTATCGGCGCACTCTTTTATCCAGACCCTTCCACCTACAGCCAAGCTGGTCAATCAGATGAAGATRTGTATCCMAACACAGTATGGAGCTCAAGTGACTCCATCTACGAGAAACCAGTAAGATCAATGTTTGGTGATCCCTTGACGCCAGGTCTCCCGGCTCTGCCTGGCATGTACAGACGACCTTTAAATGAGACAAGCCTTCCCACAATTCCATCACAACCGATATCGTTTGAGGATGCGCAGAAACTGTTGAGCAGAATGAATGGTAAGAATCCTCAGTAGGAATGACTATAATTCAACAGATTTTCTTGGAGTAAATTATCTCATCTGATCCCTGATGATCCCGCGCGATATTCTCCATCCGAAAATCCGAACCTATATCTGTGATTCCCGATCCCGGTTCCAACAACAAAGTTTATGATGTCACATTTTTCTACAATTTTCATATTTCGATCATAGTTTTTGATCTTACAAACAATTTTTATATATTTATATCAGTTTATGATTTCACATTTTTATTTACTTTCAGGAAGCGAAGTACCAGAAATTTGGCGAGGAGCCCTTAATTTGACTTACAGGTTTGGTCCAGGATTCACKACATCCAACACGACAGTTCGCATCAAAGTCCACAACATAATGAAAGAGAYGAAAATTTATAACGTCATTGGAACTATTCGGGGGAGGGAGGAGCCAGATAGGATTGTCCTCATTGGTAACCATAGAGACGCCTGGTTGTTTGGTGCTGTTGACCCCTCTAGTGGTACTGCAACACTCATTGAGATGTCACGYGTTATTGGGAACTTACTGAAAACAGGTACACACAAAAGTATCTTTATATCAGTTTGATTTTTTTCCGCAGTCAGAATTATTCTACATACTGTATACCATCCATTATTCTACCTTTTTATTTATACTAATCCAGTGTAGCTTGAAAATAGCTAAAAGATTTGATGATTTTGATATTATTAGGTTGGAGGCCAAGAAGGACCATTATGTTTTGTAGTTGGGGAGCAGAAGAGTTTGGCCTGGTAGGTTCGGTGGAATGGGTGGAGCAGCACTCCAAGCTGCTTAACGACCGTGCTATTGCATATCTCAACACCGATGTTGCTGTTGGCGGGAATTTTGTCCTTGTTGTTCAGAGCTGCCCACTATTAGTAGATTTTATCTTCTCTTGGGCTAAGAAAGTGCGAGATCCTAATGCGCATGGCARCAAGACTTCTTTGTATGACATAATGACCGAAAGGATGCCACTATCAAAAACAAGAAAAGGTGAACCAACTGTGCTTTCATTCCGATACATGAGTGATTACTACCCGTTCTATATGAATGTAGGGGTTCCATCGGCTGACTTTAGTTACTTTTTTGGATACAAAAACCAATGGCAGCTTTACCCAGTCTACCACACGCAGCATGACACGTTCTACTGGGTGAAAAAGTTTATCGATCCGGAGTTTAAATTCCACGAAGCTATGGCTAAGTTTCAAGGGGGAATGCTTCTTGACCTGGCAGACCTTCCACTWCTACCATATGGTATACAGCGGCTGTCCGACTCGCTGAAGGATGCRGTAAAATCACCGGGATTTTTAGAGTTCAAAAAACTAAACCTTCACACTGATCATGTCATTRAAGCTGTGAACAAATTTGGAAATGCATCGAAGGAGTTCTTGGAGGCGAAGAATAAATTGACAGGAAAGGAAAGCGATTTAGTGAGAAGAATTTTCAACGATCAGATGGTCCAAGTAGAGAAGGCACTCCTRCGTRCGGACTTGTATTCTAGGGATCCTATAAATAGGCACGTCATAATTGGAAACATTTTCTTAGGTGTACATAGTGCTAAGGTAGATGGCAATTTGAAAGAAGCCAACAGACAGTTATCCGCTGTTGCAGAAGCTTTTTCTTCGGCTGCAGATGTTCTAAAACCTCTGAAGAGTTTGGGATTCAATATGGCACCCTCTGTGTTTATCCAAATTTGGGCAGCATTTGCTAGTCTGTTAATTTGTTTATTATAGTTTATTTTTTTACAAGCTTTTACGTTATGTTTATGTAATTATATAGGCTGAAATTGATTTGCAGTATTGATATTTTCAAATCCTCCAACGTGGAAGTAGGCTCAGTCTCCAGCCGTCGGGATTTCGTGCGCCCGCGATACTCTCTCCCCTGACGGCTGGGCGCATGGGGTTCGAAACGTGTCGCGCATGTCCGTGACGTTTTTGTGTAATTAGCATATTATGAATAACGGAAGTGAATTTTTCAGTGAACGGAAGTGAAATATCTGACAACAGCCGTATTAAAAGGTTTTGCTACAAG